TTCAAAATTTTAAATTCATGTAAGCAGGATCAATTAATTTCAGGCTCATTTAAATATGACCCTGACAGAGTCCACTATCGATGATACCGAGTTCACGACCTCCAGCGGGGGTCACATCGAGTATCCTCCCGGCGCTGAACGGTCCCCTGTCGTTGATCCTAACGCTGATAGACCTGCCATTACACGACGCCTGGACGACAGTCCCAAACGGTAGGGTCTTATGGGCGGCAGTCATGGCGTTTGGGTCGAAGGGTTCACCACTGGCTGTGATGGCACCGGCAGGTGCGTCGTACCACGAAAAGACGCCATCCTCAGCTAGAAATATGTATAAATTGAAAATTAAAATTACCATTAATTACATCATAATTAAAATAGGTACTAGCATAAGTTTGTTTTTGTATAGACTTACCATAAGTTTGCGAAACTGTAATGAGAACCACAAGAGTTACCAATTTATACATGATTTTAGCTATAGTTTGTAATTATATTAATTACACAAATGTATTATAATTATTACTATTAATTCGAGAGTTGTTTTCAAATCATTTTATATACAATTTGAAATGCATTATTAGTAAATCAGTGAACCATTTACAGTGAAAAATCTCGAGTGTGTGAATTGTTCTAGATGTTTACTAATTGCATAATTAGTTAAATAATCAAGGGACAAATTTGAGTTCTTTGTTTACTTTATAACCTTAATTAGTTTACAGAATTAAAATTATTAGATAATTACTATTTATAGACATTATTTTCAGAAATTAATAAAAATTCTATAGAAAAGTATATTTCTAAATAATATTGATTTCATATTAAAAGTATATGAAATTGATATTAATCATCAATATTTGCATTAATTTGACTAAAATCTTATATCCTTTTGAGTTCCCATTGAAATTAATTTCCAAGAATTATTATTATTATTATTAATGCTTTTATATTTATAATTTATTGTGCTTTTAATAAGTTATCAGTAAAAATCAAATATTTACTTTGTTTATTTAATCATTAGATTTTCAGTACAATTGTTATTAAAAATATCTAAAAATTTAAGTATCACACATTAAACGTGAAATTAAAACATTAATATTAAAACTTTGAAAATAAACAAGTTTTAAATTTTTCAATAATTTTAAACCAATAAATAAATAATTTTTTTAATTAGTAACTAATAATAAATAAAATGAGAACACAAATTTATAAACCCAGAATATTACAATGTTTAAATATTCTTTTAAAATTTAAATTAAATTAATTTATTATTATAATAATATTATGTCTGCTGTTCGTTATGAGTCATAACAATGGTCTGAGAGTCGCCCTGAACCATTGATTAACAATTATTTATTTATTTATTAATCGAATATATTGTTGCATGTGCAATTTCTAAAAGTACTTGTAGTAAGATTTTGCATACAATTGTTTTAATGTTTAGCGTAAGACGTGTTGTAAATACATTAAAACTGAATTTATTGAATTAATTGGTCAGTTAGATTTTGATAGGTAGGTAAAACAGGTTTAGATTATGATTTCTGATCATTAATAAATAAATCTCCCAGTAATGTTTAACTAGATTTTATTAAAATTTTTCAAAGTTTATAATTATAATTCAAAACATTTTGTAATAATATTGAACGTGTTAACTTTTTATTATAAAGATAACCATTACTTGTATTGAAAAATATAAAAACATGCATGTAAACAGGATCAATTAACTTCAGACTAATTTAAATGGTGCCCTGACAGAGCCCACTATCGATGATACCGAGCTCACGACCGGCAGCGGGGGTCACGTCGAGTATCCTCCCGGCGACGAACGGTCCCCTGTCGTTGATCCTAACGGTAACAGACCTGCCATTACACGACGCCTGAACCACAGTATTAAATGGTAGGGTCTTATGAGCGGCAGTCATGGCGTTTGAGTCGAAAATTTCACCACTAGCTGTGAGGGCACCAGGGGCGTCGTACCACGAAAAGACACCATCCTCGGCTAGAAATGTGTATAAAATTAAAATTAAAATTAAAATTACCATTAATTAATTTCTCGAAATTAAAATAGCCACTAGCATAAGTTTGTTTTGGTATAGACTTACCATAAGTTTGCGAACCTGTAATAAGAACCACAAGAGTTACCAATTTATACATGATTTTAGATAATTGTTTATAAATATATTAATTATATGATTGTATTATAACTATAACTATAAATTTTAGAGTGGTTTTTAAATCATTTTATATACAATTTGAAATGACCTATCAGTAAATCAGTGAACCCTTTACAATGAAATGCCTTGTGTGTGTGAATTGTCCTAGATGTTTACTATTTTCATAATTAGATAAATAATCAAGGGACATATTTGCGTCTTTTGTTTAACTCTATAACAAGTTATATAACTTTAATTAGTTTAAAGATTTTAATTTGTTAGATAATTTCTATTTTTAGAAATAATTTTCAGAAATTAATAAAAATTCTCTTGAAAAGTATTTTTCAAAAAATAAATATTAATTTCATATTAAAAATATATGAAATTGATATTAATTATCAATATTTGCATTAATTGGACTAAACTTTTAATTCCTATTGAGTTTTCATTGAAATTAATTTCCAAGAATTATTATTATTATAATGCTTTTATATTTATCAGTTATTGTGCTTTTAATAAGTTTTCAATGAAATATCAAATATTTACTTTGTTTATTTAATTAATAGATTTTTATTACAATTTGTTATTAAATATATCTAAAAACTGTAGTATCATATAGGGGCATACATAATAAAACCGTCCAGGCGGAAACTTGAATAGCTCGCTAACTACAAGTCCGAGACTGAAACGGTAAAAAGTA